CCGGAAATTACAATCACGCGATTGTACCCTGTCTTTTCTACTCTGTACAAGTCTTCCTAGATTTAGGAATCGTTCAATTTTTATGCTACATTACATAATAGGAGCAAGTTGTTAGACTTTCTCGATCGGCCAATTCAGTCAAGGATATTTCGCGAGAGCTGCTTTATGAATATGAAAGAGACACGGCACTGAGAGTTGATTGCAATCGGTTCTTGATGCTCGAAGGCAGATACGTGCTCTCCGTCTTACGTAAACTCGATGGTTATTCCATTAACGACCTGATTCACATCGACTTGTGACAGATTTTCAATGGTGAACCATTTGCAAAAGACTGGATTCTTTCACCTTGAAACATTAAAACATTAACACGTTGAAACTGACGCCGCGAGAAATTTATTTACGTTACAATGAACGTACGATGAAAATGCATTTTTCACTTCAGAATACTAGCTAGTTACTTGTGTTGTTTAAAATTTTTGTTATCGTTTATTTGTTGTTAAAATTTTAAAGGGAAGTTTTCAGTCAATCGACGTGGACAGTTGAAAAACAAGTGACGCAAATAATCACGAAAGCAGGTCAATTCCTTGCGATCACTGCGAGTATAACTGATTACGAGTAAATATCATTCCGAGAAGCGGTTTTTGGAAGTGTGTTAATAACGTAGAACCCGTTAATTCTTAGAACGTAATTGGCATACCAATTGTAATTTATTTTCCAATTCTTGGCATACCAATAAGTGATATAACGATGACACTCTAATAAAGATGTAATAATAATTGTTTGCGCAGTTCGCGGTTTTCTGTTTGCTGCTCCTCTCCAGTCTAGGTCACTGTCAGGACAATGCTCTTCCATCGAGACTCGAGATCGAGAGCTCGATCAACCGTACGATCGAAGAAGTGGAGAGACAGGTTCGCGAAGACTCCAGGCTGCCCAGGCTGACTAGACAAGACATAGTGAAGATTCTGGAAAACATCACGTCGCAGGATTTGAACGAATTCAAAGACGAAGAAAAATTCGAACAAGCGAGGAACATGTATCAAAGAGCACTAATGGTGGTTCTCCCTTATAACGCGGAAGAATCATCCGGGAACTTGAAGGATCTTTACACGAAGCCACCGATGACAAAGATAATCCCCGATTTTCTATCAGAGATTAAGAGCAAGAACGAGCCTGAGGAAGGGAAAATGAAGAAAGAGAATGACAATGCGGAGAATTCTGAGAGTTTGGTTACTGAGAATTTAATAGTGAATCAGAATTCTTATGAAATTGCTCCGAAAGAGTCCACCACGATGAAGAATCATTACAAAAATCATAGGGACACGTACTCGGAAGTGCGTACGAAAGTGCCTCTGAAAGATTCGTTAAAAATAGATGGCACGCCTGTTAGGTTCACTTTCAATTTGGAGAATCTTCGGAAAAGCGCGTTCACCACCGAGGAAACGACCACGAGGAAATATCCGATTTACAATGGAAGCAAAAGTTCCGACTTGGAGATTGTTTACAGCACCAGCGTTGCCGAAGAGCCTACGACGAAACCGGCTTCGAAGGAAATTACTATCGACTTGGAGAGATACAAAGTGAATCAGAACATATTGACATCCAGTCAATGGCGTTACAACGCACCGCCTAGTACCACCATGAAACCAACTGTGCCTTCCAAACTGGAGAAAACACCGTTCCTCCCAACTATTAACACGCAGCTTGAAGATCGTCTTAACGTTTCCTCGACGCGCAAACCAGAGGTCAGAACGAAAGACAGCAGTGTCGTGGAAAGTTTCGTACTGAATTCTGAGGGGCCAACAGCCCTTTTTGTGACACCGATGCCTACCGAAACGTCATCGAAAGCAAAGTACAGTTCCACGTACTCCTTGAACTCAACGGGATTCCGTCAAACAGTGCCAACGACGGCGACTACTATCACTACTACAACCTCTATGAGGCCGGAAGTGATGGATCTGTTGGCTTCGATTGGTTTACGGCCGAACAACAGCAACAACGTCGAAGATGTTTACGAAAGGAACAAGGAAATTCTGGAGAGTAAAATTAAATTCCCGCATCTGAACAGCATTCACAGCTTGATTTCAGGCCTGATTCCCGATAGAAGCAACGCGGCATCGATCGTCAACCGAAACACATTCGAGAAGCCAGGATCCGAGATCAAGAAAGGTATGGAGAATCTGACGCCGGACGTTCAATTGCTGTTCAAAAGATTCGGCATTCAAACACAGAATTTGGTACTCCAGCCGACGACAACAGAGAGGACGATTCTTAACTTGAACTCGTACACAAACTTCAAGCCTCTACCTACGTCAAGCGTGAAAGATCAAGAGATGAAGGAGTTCTTGGCTAAATTTGGACTTGGCGTCGACGCAAATCGAAGGGAGAAATCGATGAAACCATCCACAGAGATCCCCTCCTTGATCGAAGCTGTACCGAGCAACATGAAAGGGATCTTGGAGAACATTGGCCTAATTACTAATTCTCGAAAGACAATAGATTCTATGAAGGGCACGGGATCGACAGAGACATCCAAGTTTCACGTGTTCAAACCTCACGAAGCGGCTATGAACAACGAAGAGCAGATGAGTAAAATCAACGAGCTGTTGGATACAGTGAAACTAGTGCAGCAGGGTAAAGCTGACATTCGGAATGTCAAGAAAGTGGCGAACGACCTGTTGCGAACCACGAAAACCCTTAATGACGGGCCAGACCCGCTGAAGCTCGAGGAGATCATCAGATCTTACAACGAAGACGTCAGGAACGAAGTGAAAAGGCAACAAGATGCAGAAGAGAAGAAAGAAACAAGCACCAGTACCACCACGGAACAAACCACCCCTTCGCCGATCGTAACGACTGGTATTAAAAAATTTATGCTATACATTCTGACTAGTTCCTTAGAATTTTGGATTCAAAGACACATTCGGGGATTAACGAAATCTCTTGACTAATCTGTTGACTAATATGTTTAACAAAATTAGTCATGAGCCTGGCTATCTGACCTCTATTAATCCTACATTAAAGAATCTCGAATTGTTGCATATTCCTCTCTCGTTTATTTCTGTTTATTCGGGAGACACAAAGAGCACGATTTTCATTGCTTTCTCTTCCCGTTTTAACAACGTTGATGACTCTGTTTCTGTCCTTTCGCCTGCGTATAGAAGAAAGGCTGACTCTTCCCACAAAAGGACTGTCTGGGAAAAGATGTGTGAAACCTTCAGACTGATCCGAGGTCTATCACTTTCCATCCATTCGTTTGTTTTTCTTGCTAACTGTGAGAAATACACCTGCACACGGAATACTAATGTTCCTTCTTCGTGACTGCATGCTCCAAAGAAACTGTCCCGTTTGTACCTTCTACGCGCACTAACGAAACGTGTATAATTCTAACGATATTCATCATATTTTATCTCATTGTATAATATCCATCATTGTCTACGACGTTATTGTTATTGTAAATTATCGCTGAAATCTGAATGCATGCGACCTCTCACCAATTCTCAGAGTTCATTCAATCAAAGCAATGTTTCACAGTCACGCTGCTCACACCACGAACGGAACTCAAGTCCGAGTTTACAATGAATTTTCTGTCAACAGAATTGGCAGAAACCACCTCCGCGACGACAGATTCCTCAGCAGCAAATTCCGATCAGTCGAAATCGGCCACTTCCACCTCCGCTAGCACTTCGACGTCGGATCTGATTGCTTTGGAAGAGTCGTTCGGTGGCACGACTAAAGAACCCGACACTGCTCTACCTCCGAGAAGGAAAAGCGGCCTTTACTTCCTCGTCGATTGGAATTCGTTCCTCGAGGTCGGCGAGGACGACAAGGAGAAGGTGAATTTGAGGTTCGCGCCAAAAGTCGGCGACAAAGCGAGATTCTTACCAGTGACAGTGCCGTAAAAAAAATTAACGATACTCGACATATTGCTTGTTGCGTTTTTTTTTT